GGGAGAGAAAAATATTTTCAATAGGAAGTTATAACTAAGCCACAAGCACTGACAGGTGGACTCCAGGGCACTGATAGTGCCTGAAACGACTTTTAACTCATTTTTTTTTAATACAAAAAACAGATTTCAAATTGAAGTGAAGCTTTAAATAGTTTTTTCATTTTGCACTTAATTTGTGATCCACATTTGGAGTCCTGAATTGAATACTAGGCATTGTCTGAGAAGGGACTCATTGTTTATATAGTACCAGAAAGGCACTAGGCACTTCATAGTCCTGCAGAATATAAAAAGACAACATACAAACAGCAGATGGGAGGACTAGGGTGATGTAGTTTAGTAAAGCTCTGCTTAACACCACAATGCCAGTTTTGCTTGATCTAGTTTTTATATTTCCTTTCCAATTTTGTGTTAAGATTTCCTGGTGAAGAAGGCTACGGTAATTTTTTTTCATTTGGGGCTGAGGGAAAAAGCAAAGAAGATCACATTGTTATAATTGGCATTAACTACACTGTGATGGTTTTGTTAGGTAGGGGAAAAGAGAAATGTAAAGAATCAGATTAACTCCTTTTTTTTAAACTGTCATTGAAATCTGCATATAAATATGGAGAGCCTAGATCTATAAGAACAAAGACAATAAAAACAGTTTTTCTCCTAAAGTACCATTGTTAAATAGCAGCTATGCATGCACTATATGTAAAAAGCTATTTGCCATGACTAATAGATATAATGGCGTATATCTAATATTTTATCTCTCATGTGAGTCCAAAGAGTCCAATAGTTGAAAAACATTACACTTATCAGCAAAAAAACAAAAAACAAACAAAAAAAACCCAGTAAGCAATATGAAAACTTGATGCTAACATTTAATTTTTAAAATAACAGCTAAAAACAGATTAATTAGATGTATCCTTTTCCTAATTTGGGAACAAGAGCTATTTGAGGATATAAGGCAAGGAAGCTGCTCTTGAATCTTCCAAGTCTTTGAATATACACATTCATCCCACAGTATGTTTTCCTTCAGTGCTTGTTTTTCTCCCAACTAGATTCCTTATTTAAGATGTAGGGAGTAAAGGAAGGAATTCTGAAAATTTTCAACACCAACATATGTATCCCTAAAACTGATGAGTACTTAGGCACAAATGTTGGAAATTTCATCTTCCTTCCAAAACGTTCAAAACATGACAGTGAGGTAACAATTTCCCTTAGAAAGAAATATTTGCTTTGTTTTTGTCTCATTATTTTAGATGTCTTAGGTTGCAAAACAGATGCAATGAGCCTATGTCGGTATCTACCGGAGGCTACAAAACCGCGCCATTTTTGCTAGATATTATTATATCCAGGACAAATTATTAACACTGCAAGTGTGCAACTAATCATTTAAAATTTGCAATGCATTCAATTACAATTAATGCCCTCAACTGTGTATTTAATCACAGCTTTTTTTAACTAAGGTTTTTAATACAGAATTCAACCTGCATTTCATGAAGTCTCTTTATATTTAAGGTAATAACGCTAATCAGTCTTTTCTCAAAGTTATTTCTAGCTAGTTGTTCTATTACACACCAGTGAACCATGCATCTTGGAAGCCAAAGATATACCAGTACAAGTTTTTGCTTCTTCTTGATTCTTAAGCATTCCCACTCAACCTAAGAGCAGGTTATACAGAACAACACTGAACCACGGGCTAAAAATTGATTTTGCACTGTGTGGTGCAACATCTAAAAGATAAAACGTGTTTTGTAAAAGTGAACTTTTCTAGCAAAAAAGAATAAAGAAGTTCAAACAGCTCCTTAACATTATTATGTATAGAATAGCTATTTTAGGTATTTTACAGGTTTCTAATATTTATTTGTTTGTACACTCCCTAGCATAATTGGCAATTAATCTCTGTTTATGGTCCTTAGGCACTACCACAGTAGAAACAGAATACAATAAAATAATAATCATTAATAATTGCTACTAATATTAGAATTTTCCTTGTTTCCTTTCCTTAGCTATCTGGTTTATTTTATATACAAATATATGCATTTTTTAAATTAATCTTCAAAATAATATCAGTTCACGATACATTCCCCCCACAACACTGATCTCATAATCCGATGGCATTGACCTCAAAGCCAAATTTTATTTCCATGGAATAAAAAGTCATTTCCCAGTGCAACTAACTAAATCATGCTTATGTTTGCAATTTTAAGCTTTCTATAAATCACTTTTCAGGCTCTTTATTAGTCAAGACCAATGATGTTTTCAGAACATAGAATTATACACCCGAGTGTAGACAGCATACTCTAAAAAATAGATCTAATAAATACAAGTAACAAAATGGAAACAGCCCACAAAAAACAGTAATAAAAATAAATTATAGTCTGCATTAGGCTAACTAGAAAATTAGCAGCTAATCTAGAAAGCTATTTTTTTTTACTGCAGATTGGAAAATAAAAACAAAAGTCAAGCAAATGTTTTAAAAAGGCAACCATGAAATGCAGAACTCGTCTGAGGAAAAGAAAAATTCCTATAAGCAGTGAACTTTTCTAGTTATGAATCAGCAATTCTCTTTCCTGCAAAGAATAACAAATGACCATTTCCTTGTTTTAAGGCATCTTGTTTTGAGGATCATAATATCTGTCCTAATTTACAGTTCATTTAATTTACATTAAAAAGCTAATTTGATACAGCATTTTTAAGACGTACCATTATATTTGTTATCTTAAATAACCAACATGTGACTCAAATATTCGGTTTATAAAATTAATTTCCAAATATTCCTCATGCAACAAAATACAATTTGCCATTTTTTCCTACTTAATATACTTCATGTGGGAGTGCACTAACTATAATGTAAACATGGAAGCACAGATTAAATTATGGAGCACAGTTACAAAATAACGCGATCAAGTTGCAGTGCCTTAGATAGAGATGTTCGACATTTGCCATTTTATGCCATGCTGCCATGATACAGAACAGTTGACGCACACCACGTTCTTTAAATTGTCTTCTTAAAGATAGACTTGAAGGGAGACTCACATTTCAATTTTTACCCAGAATTTGCCGTCAGAAACGATTATCAAAAATGTGATGATTATTAAGAATGTTTTAAAAAAAACCAAAAGGATGGTCGTGAAACACCTTGACGTCTTCACCTAGCTAACTTTTGTGTTATGTGCCATATAAAATCTTGATAAACAATAAGATATTAGGGCCATCTTTAGAGACTGTCATTTAAAAGTTCAGACAGACTTTGTGATGGTTTAGGAACAAATTTAAGTGGCTTGTAGCAGGATTACAATTTATGTACATAGTAGCTCTTCAGTTACCCAGCAGAGCTATATGATACTAATATTATATAATTACTATGTTTCTGTATATTATACACACTAATATTTCAAACTGAAGTTCAGTTTCTATAAGAATAATTGGCCTGAACACATATACCAAACATGGGAAAGTTTCATTTATAAAATTATGCTGCCTGCTTAAGAAAACACTGTCAACTTTTAGTACCACAAAGTAAAGAGACATCTTGGAGAGTCTGCTTTCATACACATTTTAAAATTCAGTTAAATACACAGATGTTCAATCTAAAATAATGTTCCATATGTTCTGTTTATAATAAACGTTGTTCTGTTGAATATGTTGGGGAAGGAGGTTGAGAGTGTTTGCTCTGTAGACTTAATCTTGGCCATATAGTAATATTTAAAGGAAATATGTTCACTTACTGATAAAGTTCTACAAATACCAAGTTTAACTAGTAACCTAGTATTACTTTACAATGCATCAGACTTTGTTTGATCACACCAGAGATTTACTTGACAACTGAACGCAAGAACTTAATACCTGTTGTGGCCTGGACCATTATGTCAAAATGTATTTTTTAACATATGCTAATGCTTAACGCTCAACCTCTTTTCTAATCAACAAAGCAAACAGCAAATCTTAAAACAAGAGAGGACTAATCTAACAGCTCCCAAATCGATATTTACTAGTGTATTTTTTCTGCCAAAATACAAGTCCAGATTTTTTTTTAACATAAAGCTATGACCAAAGCAAACAAACAAAAATTAGATAGAGAACATGCAATTATCTTATATCAGTACAGTATCAGTTTTTATATAGTATTCATATTTCATGTACTAATTAAAATGCATTTAGTTAGTCTTTAACCCTCTGGTTTAACCCAACAGTTATCACTCTTAAGCAACTGTATGTGTCAGGGTATTTCTTCCCCTTTTGAGTGAGAGTAAAAAAGTAAAATATCATAAGTTTTTTTATTACCATTATTACACTGAGAAGGGCGAGGGAGAGTCTTTTATGCATGGGACTGGTAAGTTTTCCTAACCATCCGTATGTCTTGTGTGTACCGGCACAATACTGACTCCACTCATTGTAGGCCTGATGACTATCACATTTGCAGCCAACTCAGGCGAAAACAACTTCTTTGTTTCTGAATTGTGCTGAACGCAACAACAAAGAGCCCCCGCCACAAAAGCAAAAACTTTTCAGAAGCGTCCAACCACAATCTACCATGAAGTGAAATGGATTATAACGGACCCAATACATACTCTGAACACGGTTGAGCCCCTGGTTAAAAGGAAACGCAACCTGGCTGTTAAACCGGTGCTGATCCTTGTAGGGCTGACTGTCTGTAAATCAGAGGAACCGAATTTACCCTAGTTTGTCCTGGGGCTCTGCCTAGGGCCAAGAGGGTGAAATTTGCTTGCTGCTGGTACCTAAGTTAGGAGAGTGGAAAACAGCGAGAGCCGTTTAAATCCCTTAGCTAGCGGAGCCTTAAGGATTTGCAGGCTCCAGACCTGCCAAAGCCACCCGGCTAGAAAGAGCAATTCATGGGGGAGGGAGATTTTGCCCACCGACCCCCGGGCGCTGCACTGCCGGCGTGACCCCGCCGGCACAGCGGGGAAGGGGAGCAGGAGCTGCCCGGGAACAAGGGCGAAGTTTGACCCCGCTCCGGCTCCAAGCCTGGGAGTCGCTAGCGCGCCTCTTACTTTTGGAGGAGTTGGGGCAGACGGGGCGGCGGCGGCATCCCTCTGCTGGAGGCCGGGTGGCCGGGGGCCGCGTTGCGGGCATCTCGGTCGGGCTGTTCAGAGCCGCTGGGGGCCGGGGCCTGGTTCATGGTGGCAGCGGGGACCATTCAGCCAGAGCCTCCCCCAGCCCCCTGGAGCGATGGGGCACCGCGGAGCGCGCCTCGGAGCCAGCCCGGGGCGGGGGCGTGGGGGGGAGGAGGGAGGGAGCAAAGCCTGGGGGCTGGACAGCCCGGCCCACGGGAGCCCGGAGCGGGAGCCACCCCCCGACCGGCTAGGAGGCTGCGGCGGCCCTAGGGGGGGCGGCCGGCGCCGGGGGAGCAGCATTTATGACGAGGCCTGGCACAGCGGAGCCCATGGGAGGAGCAGCCCCCCCGCACCTGGGAGTCCGTGGCTGCTGGGGGGGGCACAGTGAGACGGGACCCCCCCCTTTCCGTCCCGCTCCCGGCCCGGGGGCCGCAGTGAGCCGGTACCCCCCCGCTTCCGTCCCCCTTCCAGCCTGGGGAGTGCTGTGAACCAGGACCCCCCTTCTATCCTCTTCCCGGCCTGGGGGGTGCACCGCACCCACTCCTTCCCCCAGGGGTGCTGGAAGCGGAAGCGATGCATTTGGTTGTTATGACTACCTTCAAGCCATGGGGTGCTCCCCCACCCCTAGCTCCAGCACCCCCGTTTCCCTCCCTACTAGCCCCCCCCCAAACTCTCCAATCCCTTGGGGGCAGCATGTCAGGTCCATCCCCTCTCTATTCCTGCAGCTGTCCTCTCACTCCCTTCCCCATCATCCCCCCAGCTACAGGGGCAGGGGGGGGTAATGCTCCACCCCACTCCAGAGCCCTGAGCGTCCTCCCCATCTCCTAGAAGAGATGCTGCCCCTTCCCTGCCCACCCCATTAGTGCTCTGCCTCAGCAGTAGCTGGAGCTTCCTGTAGCTCTCCATCCTCCCTCCCCCAGAGAGCCTGCAGCCCACTACCTTCCCCCTGCTTTGTTCTCGTTCTTCTTCACAGATGCAGGAGGAAACCCACTGGTGGCTTCTGCAGGAGAACTGATTGTTTCTCTGGGCCTCAGTGGTATCTCTGTCTGCCTCTTATTTGGGGTCCTGACGTCCTGTAGCAAATTATATATTTTTCATCATTATTACAGTAGCACCCAACTGTTCTGGAAGTTGTACCTATGTCTACACAAAGGGAATCGCTGCCCCAAAGAAGCAATTTGACCCATGTTTCTACAATAATTATACAAAGCATTCCAATGCAATTGTAAGATTTTGCATCCCAAATTAGTTGCTGTCATCTCTGTCCTTTATTTCCTAGAAGCACAGGTGGGGACACTATTGGAGCTCCAAGCAAAGAGTCCATTTCCTACTCCTTACAAGTTTGAAGAGTGCTAACTGTGTTCTTGAAGCCTAATTGACCACAGTGACAATCTATCTCCCCCCTCACCTTTATTACTGGTGCCTTATTTGTGGCCATCAGTCGCTGGTTTGGTATGGAGGGAGGGACAGGTTTCTGCTGCTGGCATACAGCTGTTCCCTGTGCCCAAAGAAAATGTAGTGAGCTTCATAGTCCTCTCTCCTTCTTGTGATGGAGCCCAAGAAAGGAAACCCAGCTTAATATTTTATACCTGCACTTCCATAATGTAGTTCTATCAAGGATCTAAAAGTGCTTTACAAACATTAAATTTCACACCTCTGGGAGGGCGGGAAATGTTAATATCATTTTACCCTTTACCAATAATGTACACCTGGAAATAATAATCTGTTGCATATGGCCCGTGTCATGTGTTTATAAAATAGGAGAGGATGATTATGCACCAGCCAGCAATGTCATCACTCTCCTATGCTAGTCACGAGTTATGGAGTCATCCCTAAAAGAAACTCACATTAGGGATCACCCAAAGAGTGTATTTTTACTGAGTGATTGTATAAGTTATGGCCCGCAACCTTGCAAACACTTAAGCACATGTGTAAGTGTTTGCAGGATCAGGGCCAATTTAGCAATAACTTTACCCACCACTGCTTTAATGCAGGAATAGCGATTAGAGAAAGAGTTAAAGCATGCTAGTGTGATATGAGATATAGGTTTAACCTGCATACAATTTGATGGACACATTATTGATGAGTGGAAAAGCAATGAGTGAATTATGCTGCTTATTCCAAATGAGTGCTATTAAAACCTTTAACATACCCCCATCTTCATGCTTTTTGATATATACCACATATATTACAGAGAAACAGAAAAGGGGTACTGGTTAGGGACTCTTTCAAGGGGTTGCTTTCTGAAAAAGTTTGCATACTACTTCCACGGTGAGTGGAAAATTCTGATTTGGTTGCATTTTGTACTTACTTTGCACAGGTGTAAATATCTAAACTAGATTCAAGGTCATGGAGAATTATACCAGCAGCGTATATTTCAACGTGTACAATCCCTTTAATAGCAGCATAACACTAAAGAAACTTTCTAGAATGACAAGCAACCTGTGCTTTATATATATATTGAAAAATAATCAGGGCATCACATCCTTTTCCCTGCCAACGAAGAATCGTTCCGTGCACTGCATTCTCTAGTGCTTTGTTCAGTTTAGTATTAAAAGTCTCAAGCTTCCACCCCTTTCTGATTTGGAAAAAGTGGCTCTGTATGGAATTCTTCCATGGTATTAGAGTGGAGAAAGCTTCTGTGATTGTCATTCTTTATATAGAGAGACACTCTGATGCCTATAGTTAATCAGGGAAGTGAAAGAAATACTAGGTGATTGATTGCCTTCTGAAAGGAATGAAAGAATAACTGTGAAACAAACGTCTGCCTGTCGATTAGTATATGGTATTCAGGTTTGTGCATAAAAATATGAGCATCTTACATTTAATACACACACACGATTCTATTTACATCACTTGTGAAAGTGGATAAGGTAAAGAGCATGGACTTTATTGGTGCAAATAAATTGTACTCAGTACAATACCATGTTGATGTTTCTCCCACAATATATATGCGTGTATATTTTCAGACTCATCTTCTGATTTTCGAAACCCTCACAACATCCACATCCACTCTTTTGCAGCCTTTTCTTCCCCTCTCTTCCTTTCTACACAGTTGCATTGTTCCTGGGTTCTGTCTGTTGTTCCAGCCAAGTGATATTTGGATGGAGAAGCTAAGGGCTAAAGCAGAAGCATGTGATGCATGGGTAAGAGAAAGTCTACCACTGGAAAAGATTCCATATTTCAGACATTTTCAGATTTTCCTGAAAATAACCTGAACCAGCATAGCTTTTCACTTGATCCTTTTAAATGGATGTTTCTACTGGATGTAAGTGGAACCAGGTGGCCACAGCTGCTAGGAGCAAGAGTGACCTCACTAAACCTTTCTGCTGATGGCCCTCCATTGCAGTGATTCTCAACTGGGGGTCTGGGGACCGCTGGGGGGCCATGAGCAGGTTTCAGGGGGGCTGCCAAGCAAGGCCAGCATTAGACTCGCTGGGGCCCTGGGCAGAAAGCCAAGCCCCACTGCATGGGGCTGAAGCCCAGGGCTCTGAGCCCCGCCACCCAGGGCTGAAGCCAAAGCCTGAGCAATATAACTCCATGGGTGGCCTCTGTGGAATGGGGCCCCAGGCAGTTGCCCTGCTTGCTACCCCCTAACGCCAGCCCTGGCTTTTATATGCAGAAAACCAGTTATTGTGGCACAGGTGGGATATGGAGTTTTTATAGCATGTGGGGGAGGGGCCTCAGAAAGAAAAAGGTTGAGAACCCCTGCTCCATTGCACCTGTTGTGGTATGTTTATTGTCCCTTAACATGCCAATAGAATTATGCAATGTTAGGACACACCTGATACATTCTACCTGGTCATACCTAAACATACAACAGCAGGCAAGTGGCTAACTGGATGAGCAGGAGTACAGATTACATACATAAACACAGGTTAAATCTCTTCATGTCTCTTTTAAAGCCAAAGCACAAAGAGAAAATTTCCTGGAGAAACTGAAAGGAAAATACAGGGCAGAACCCTTGCTTGAAAAGGTACTGGTCTACATAGCTGTAGGTGTTACAGGGAAATCACATCACTTTAAAAGTGCAAGACTATGCAATTTAAAGTTGGAAGCAGAACATTAACTCCATATACAGGCAGAGAATGAAGCTCCCAAATGACGCTTTGAGAAAGAGGACATTCTTCCAAATTAACAGAAGGAGAGAGAGAGAAAACTCAGAGCTGGACTGAAACCCAAATGTGGTGATCAAGTTTCATCAAGATTCTAGCTGCGCAGATCAAGAATTACCAGCATGTAAAAAGTTGTGTGGAGTCAAAGCTATCAAGCTCTCAACCACAGATTCCTCATCTGTCCAGGTTACCAGCAGTATGTGATAGTTGAAACTTTCCAATACACTGGAGTCAGCTGATGAAAGGCAAATATTGTAAAGATCTTGTCCCATTGTAGAACAGCGTTCACTAACTTTGTTTTTCTGCATTTATTGTGAAATAATATTATCCTACCTCCACCCCACACCAGAGGCAGCATAATCCTCTGTCCACATACTGTACTGTAAATTTCAAAAAGATTGGAGTGTGCCACTGATCATGCCTCAAATGTTTACGCATGCTGTTTGATCCCAGAATACTGACTTATGTCATTAATGGCTTGTGTCATCCTCCTTTCCAGTTTCAGAAATGGCAAGTGTTCATCATCTTAGCTACACTAATCTATTGCTTAAAGAAAAAATAGAAAAGAACAAGGTAAAGCAGAACAGGACATTGTAAAACAGGATTCAGGATGACTATAAAAGGGACAAAATAAAATCAGTTAAAATTTTTTTCCTTTTATGTATTACTAATAACAATACAAACAAAACTGATTTATTCTCATTGTTCAGTTTACATTTCACTCAATTTAGACAGTAGCTTATCTAAGCTAGTCAGTTTCTAATAATTTCCCCTTCTGGTTCTCATCATACACTACTACAGAACTTGAGAATCTTTAAAATCTTATTTTTACATTCATGTAATAAGCATTTCTATTTATAGTCAGATTCAGGTTTTTGGTACTGTTGCTTTGTATGCAACCTAAATTTGGGGTCTGACTGTGTCCCTTTAATTTTT